CGACGTCGCGCGCACCTAAGCGAACTTGCGGACGCGTCGAGTATCAGCCTTGAGCGTGTGTGTGCGTTAGATACAGTGAAGACAGCGCGTTAGTTTAGAACTCTTTTTTTTTTTAATTGTTGAGAGTGTGTTAATTTGTGCAATGATAACCTACCAGCAATGTAAATATGATTTTTAAAAATATATTCAAATGAGTACATTACGATATAAATTTATTAGAATGAGTACATTATTATTTATGGGCTTAAAAACAAGATGCAAACAATCAGAATATTGTACCTGGTGGGGAGTGCCCAATGTAAACATGAAACATATGCCATTGCCTATATTGTACTGTGGTACAGTTATGGAGGCCCTTCATAATGCAGGGGTCAACTGCCTGCTCTGCCAATAGTTAGAAATGGCACTATAGTAAGCAGTGTTTAATAAATGGCTGTTTTTCTAAATTCTGCTGAGGTCAAATTCAGTGCAGTCATGTATCGTGATACGTATCGTATCGTGACTTTGCTGGTGATAGCCCTAACCCTCTCCTGTAAGTTCTGGTGTGAATGCAGGGATGTTTCTGGCCATTCGGTTGAGGTCTTTGAGTGTCACTCCATGTGTCATTTCAGTGTTTGTCTGAATTGATCCTTTTCCTTCTGCGGCTGCAGAGGTTTCCAGGAAACTGACTTGTGAAGTGTCAAGCAGAAGGCTTTGGACACCGAGCGCAGCTGGAAAAAGCCATCAGACAGGACATAGAAAGAGAACCGTTTCACACAAAGTCACTGAAACAGTCCTACAGACTGCGCATGGACTCAAGTAAAAGTCACCCTGCTGCACGTCACACTGCCAGCAGTGTAAACCCCCTCACCCCTGTACACAGATACAAAGGGGGGACTGTTTCAGTTCTTTCTGGACCATGTCAAGCTCCTCTTTAATGTTGCAGAATTGCTGAGTCCGGGTTTGGACTTCAGCTCTGGCTGCATGCAGATGGCCTTCTAAGGCCTTATCTCTAGTGTCTCTCTCATTAAGTTCCACATACGCTGTTTTTAACAGTGACTTTGTATGAAACGGTTCTCTTTCTAAGTCCTGTCTGATGGCTTTTTCCAGCTGCGCTTGGTGTCCATTAGCTGTTAGCGCTGGTGATTTCCTTGGATCTGTTCTGTGCTTTCTCTCGTTGATCAGGTGTCAGTTCTCTGTAGAACTCTGTGACTTGCAGTTTCAGATCATTTACCTCCTGTCTGAGGCCCTTGAGGGTGTGGGTGCCTGAGGCCCTTGAGGGTGAGGAGGGGATGATGCTGGTCAGGTCCTGGTGGTTCAGGCTGGGTGTCAGGTGTCCACTTGTGTCGCAGTCTCGCTGTTCCTTTCTTTGCCATTGCAGGTCGTTGGCTGCTTTGAGCTGAAGGATGTCCATTACAGTGCTCTGCTGGGTTTCCAGGTGGTCCTGGTGAGCTGGCAGGGCTGGATGTCTGTGGAATGTCTGCGACATACTGGCACATTTGTGGGAACACCAGAGAGAGAGAGGCAGAAGGCAAATGCAAGTACGTAAAGAGGTGTTAAGCTATCTCTATGGGGGACGGCTGTGTAGGCCGTGTAAGGTATGAATAGCTGGTGAGGGGCAGCTAGTGAGGTAGGGTGCTATGTCTTTTTGTTCGTGAACACAAAGAGAGAGTTTGAGTAACTTTGTTGATGGGGCTGTAAGCAGGGGTCAGCTAAGGACCGGGCTATACATGTGTTCAAACTATTACTCAAAGCACTGATGGTTCACAGGTTTGAGCACTATGAAGGTATTAAATAAAACAAAACTGAATTAAAATAAGAAAGAGACGGAAGGGGTTGCCTTATTTAGTTTAAGCTAGGAGATATGACTAAGCAGTTGTCACTTGTGGTCATAAACCTAGGGGGTCTGTTAGCTAAGCTAGCAGGGGCACATCAAACACCTCAAGGTACATAAACAGAAACAATAGGAAGTGTTTCTAGTCTTCTCAGGGGCCTGTAGCATAATGCATGGTAACTGTAGCTTATGTAATAGGCCTGGTGCTGAGGAGTAAGGAGGGGTAGAGCAGAGACAGGAATTAAGGCTACTAATAACCTGTACGGCTCATTAATGATACAACAGCTGCTAGAACTGCTATAATCCTATACCGAGAGGGAAGATGGTGATGGTCAAACAAACTAAAATGAGGTAAAAGTAAAACGAAAAGATCCTAATAGCCGTAGGAAACCAAAAGGAAGAATGAACTAACAAATTGATTTAATTAAATCTCAGATTTAAATCAAATCAATTTAACTGAATTGGTACATTCAAGCTAAACAAAGGTAAGTTAATGAAATAAAATCAAAGACAGGTAGAAATATATTACATTGATTTTCCTGATGCTTAAAAAAAAAAACAACAACTTAGATTTCATTAACAAATAAACTTAGTTTAATGGACAAAATAGCTAATAAAAATTTTGTAAATATTGCATAGCATCATTAAATCCTCTCAAAATGTAAAATAATAATAAAAAAATATTATTGAACAAAAATATATTACATTGATTTTCCTGATGAAAAAAAACAAAAAACAAAAACAACAACAACAACAAAAAAAACACTTAGATTTTATTAACAAATGTGAACCAAAAATGAAGTGACTCAGAGTTTAATTAATTTTAATGGAAAAAAAGCTCGTGAAAAATTGTATAAGTATTGCATAGTATCATTAAATCCCCTCAATATTTAAAATAATAATCTAAAATTATTATTGAACAGAAATATATTACATTGATTTTCCTGATGAAAAAATAGCTATTAAACATTTTATAAATATTGCATAGTATCATTAAATCTTTCAAAATGTAAAATAATAATCGAAAAATATTATTGAACAAAAATATATTACATTGATTTTCCTGAT